GGAATAGCTTTATAGCTCTTCCAGAGCTAATATTTATGATTCTGCAAGTTAAAATCTGCGGAGTATCTACTTCATATATAGATGGCATCATAAGTGAAAGACGCGATTACACATACATAGTTCATGTCCTCAAAAGTTTTATAATTGGAAGATAAAACATTCAAACAGCATTTCAATTAAGACAAAATTTGGGCTAAGCTCCGTTATTGGAAAAATACTATCCTCCTTCCCCTCCTATCTCTAGTCCCCCAAATATAGTCAGAGGCTTTCTTATCTAATATAGATTCCAATATACATGTAAAATCCTCCTAAAATCTGTCTTGGCAATCTCCCTAATTATAAATTTTTAAAATCCATCCATATATATAGGAATTATCTAATATAGGGAAGAAGAATTCTCATTTGAAATTCTAGTGTTTTCTTCTAGTAAATCTTTTTACTTTCCCCTCATAATATTTAGAAATGAGAAATATCTATAGTTGGTGATAGGGTACTGAAAAGAAACAGAACTAAAAAAACACATCAACAAGTCAAGAAGCATATATTAGTTTTATCTACCCATTAGTATTCAAGGATTACTTGGCAAAGAAAATGAGTTTACATCTAATTTGATGAAAGACTATGATGCTATAATAAAGTATGTAAACATTTGAGGTATCTAATTTGGCATTTTAAACAAATGAAAGGGGATGTTAATGGGCCAGTCAATACACTTTTATTAACTTGATGCTATGGAAATTATTGTACCAAATTATGCAAATTTAGAATTGTCACTGTTAAGTCTAATAATAGGTACAAACAAGAAAAACACTAAAAGTGTTGTAAAATTAGGGAAGTTGAAATAACAGGTATTTTTAGAATGCCACAATAAGTTCTTCTTATGTGAAAATCACTTTCAAAAGTGTAGCAGGGGTTGTTTGAAAGATTAAATGAATACAGGTAAAGCACGTATCACAGTGCCTGGCACATGGCAACTGCTCACCAGGCATTGGTTAGCAATAACTCTAAACTGAATCTAATCCTATCACATGTAAAAGATCAGGGCAAAGTATTTGTTGTCAGAAGATTCAGGACTATCTTTCCAAAAGAAGGTATGCTGTGTGACCAGGATTTAAAATACTGATGCAGACGCTGAAACGTGGAGTAACACAAATCCTCTAACAAAAATTGTGTGTATTATTAATGCATATTAATTTAAAAATAAAAATGCAAGTCAGATTACAAGACTGATTTGCTCAAAAAAAAATGAAAATGGTTTTGCAGTTCTTGCATTTTGTTGCTCAAATCTAAGATAGTCTTAAATTTTTCTTTTTAACACTTTAAAACTTAATCACACTATAAAAACAAGCTCCTATCAAATCATGCTAAACATCCAATTAACAGTGGTTAACAGTGATTGTCTTATCTTCCCAAGGACAAATTCTTGAACTAAAAGATGTAATAACAAAAGAAAGCATGGCTATCTTTTCACGAAAATACACAAAGTTTAAGTAAAGGCTAAACTTCCACAAAACCAATTTGTAAAACAGGTTCCTCATTTTAAAGGAACCCAGACAGCTGGAAATTTCCACTGAATTTTTATAAGAAAATTCCTCATATGTTTACATCAAAAACTACAGTTTAAAAAGTAAGTCCTTACTTTCCACAAGACTCTACCCTAAGTTCATTTGTTCCCTAGTAAGTTTAATCAACACGTTTATTTAGATTTGCAATGATTCTGAAAACAAATTCCTTCTGACAGCGATTTTCTGAATGAAATGTAAATATTAAGTTTTTAATTAAACCAGCACAGTTCACACTCCAGTATTTGTTAAATATAATCTTATTTAAAATATTTTACATCTATAAAATTTTTTAAAAGTCCAAAGCAGAACCTTAAAAGTACTCTGATATATACAACTTAGAGTCAATGTCAAGATTATCAATCCGAAAATTAATTTTAAATTGGATAACAATTCACTCAAGTAATAATTATGGAAAGAAAACCAAATGAATACAAATAATAATTTCGTAATTTCTGCAGGATTACTTTGGACTATTTTTAAAATGCTAAGAAAACATGCTGCAAATCCACAATACAAACACACATCTGGAAACTAAAACCCTACATTCATCTAAATTTCAACATTGCCTCATTCATGTAATATTTGTTCTCCCTCACTTTAAAATTGGAACCTAAAGCCAATCAAAGATATTGGGGTCAACCCCAGTAAGGAAAACAAAAAGATCTTCAAGTGCTATCTCCCTGTAAACTTTCAAGTAAAATCTCCTTGGTAAACTTTCCAAGTCAAGATAATGTACTGGCAAAAGGAAAACAATTACAGTCCGGATATATATCTTGCATGTGACTGTGCATTAAATCATAAACCTTGGAAAACTAGTAATTTAGTAGTAAGTTGCTATTTTAATTATAAAATATTTTCATATTTTAGACAACCACCTCCTGGAATGTTTGTATTCGTTTATACATATTTTGCAAGTGATACTCGAGTTCTGAAGACTAGTCTTCATTTCCTACACCATCTTTATTAGACTCTTCCACCTTCGGTTTCCTAAGTAAATATATAAGCTAAACCAATGAGTTTCACTCATTTGTCAGTTTCAACCACTGACAAAACCCAGTGGTTGCCTAGTGATTTATAGTACTAAAAGATATATACGACCATGCTTTACCAAATATGGAACACATGTCTAAACTGTTGACTTGAGACAACTGTCGATGTATTAACTACAAAAAGCCATTATATCTTCAGCTTCAAATAAAATCAAAGTGTGAACATTTTATTAGAGCTAGAAATCACCCAATACAGATGCATAGGTTTTACTGTTGACTTTCTAATTGGAAACTTCATCAATTGCAAACTACCAGGCTTTCAACCAAAATGCCACACTGGTGAACTGAGTTGGTTTTATTTTCATAACAACATTATTTTGATGGAAGAAATGTCAGCATCCCAGCTTTGACTTATGGGTAAGCATTTCCTCTGCTTTCAGAACACAAAAAGTAAATACCGGTATTGGCAAAACCTGGCTCCAACGAGATTCTTTATCTCTAGGCTAACTGTAGATTCCGGGAAATCCCAAACAAGGGGCGACCCCGCCTCGGCATCAGGGTCAACACAGCAACCAGCTAGACTTCAACTTTGGGCTCTGAAGGGCCCCACCGGCATCATGGCTGATGCGGACCGATGCGCCGGAGGAGGTGGACAAGGAAGAGGCTGGTTTGTTTACTTGCAGCCAGAGCTGCCGCCGCCGCCAGCAGCGACAGCATCACTGGATCAGCCAAACCCAGCATCTTCCGCACATTTCTATTCTTAGCACACAACTCCCAAGCGGATCAAAACCCCACTACTATTAAAAACACAGAGAAGCACGTTACCCACCTCCCACACACACACACCCCCCACCCCACCGGTGCCGTCTTTTCCTGCGCGCCAGTGGCGGGGAAGGGTGGGGAAAGGAAGGAGACCCCAGGGACGCCTGTGCATCCTCGCTTTCACCCCACCCCACGCGCAGACAGCCTCAGCGCCAGGGCGCGCGGCAGACGGCTCCCTCCCCCCAACCCAAACACACTGACACCGGCGCTCCACGCGTTATATAACCTCG